AGTCCAACCATGAACCCAACACTGACCAGTCCCCGACTAACCCATGTCCCTCAGCACTGTGTCTACACGACTCTTCAATCCCTCCAGGGATGGGGACTCCACCACTGCCCTGGACAACCCCTTCCAATGCCTGACAACCCTTGCAGCAAAGAAATTCTTCCTCACATCCCATCTCAACTGCCCTTGGTGCAACAAAGTTGCTGATATGGACACTACCTGGGAGGATTCCAACATTTTATAGTAACTCTACTTCTATAGTAATTTAAGGAATTCTTTCAAACTGGGCTTCATCAGTTGCTCAAAACTAAAAAACCTATTTTAAGGAAATCGATGGAGCTGCCGATAACGGAGCTCCGCAGCTTAATACCTCCAAAACTCAAGGCCTCATCCATGACTAAATCATGGGAAACATTAATCAAACTTGTCACTGACCTCACCCTTTAATCAGCATGATTAATGGCAGTGAACACAAAAGGGAAGCCGTATGAGGAGAGGCTGAAGTCGCTTGGATTGTTCAGCCTGGAGAAGAGGAGACTGAGAGGAGATCTCGCGGGGGCCTAGAACTTCCTCCCAAGGGGAAGAGGAGGGGCAGGCGCTGATCTCTTCTCTCTGGCCACCAACGAATGCCAGGAGCAGAGGAAATGGCAGGAAGATGTGGCAGGGGAGGGTGAGGTTGGCCATGAGGAAAAGGTTCTTGAGGCAGAGGGTGGTGGAGCACTGGCACAGGCTCCCCAGGGAGGTGCTCATGGCACCAAGGCTGACAAGATTCCAGCAGCATTTGGCCAAGGCCCTGAGGGACATGGTGTGAATGTTGGGATTGTCCTGTGCAGGGACAGGAGTTGGACTCCATGATCCTTGTGGGTCCCTTCCAACTCACAACATTCAATGATTTTAGAATTTCCCTACTATTTTGAGAGGATGGGATCGCAGGACAATTTTGATGAGGCCGTGTCTGTGTCACGGGTTTGCAGGATATCACACCAGGTCTGCAGAACAGCAGCATCTCAAACGCAGCTTGGACTGAAGCTTAGACTTTCATAATGAAATATTCAGCAAATGGTTTATCAACAACCTGGATGAGAGACCTGTTCCTAATGCAGAAGCTGAGGTACCACAGCACATGAGGGTTTCCTGAGAATTTCTCTGTCCCTGCCATGGCTACAGGGGCAGATTATGAAGCTGCTGGTCAAAACACCAGAGGGAACATGGGCAGAAACACACTTGCCCAAATAAAGATCAAGGGACTGCTTTTTTTGCCCTTCCATGAAAACACAAGAGGGAGAGAAGATCTAATTCACTGAAGAATAAAAAAAAGGAGTCAATGATACCAAAAAAATTACAGATAAAGAGGAGCAGACGCTCCTACGTGTCTCACTGCAAGGCGACTCCTCACCTGCTCTGACAGTCCTCTCAAGACTGACAAAATAAATGCGAAGAAAAGAAGGTCGTGCTGCAGCAGTTTGGAAGAATATTGTCACATCTGTGACATTTTCTGTCTATTCAGCTAGATTTGTCCACTCCACAGGTGAAGTGGAGGATGGAATGAAGCAAGAAAGCGTGGTTATTACTGCGGGTACAACGGGGCAGGAAGGAAGGGTTTTGGAAATTAGTCACCAGTTACTTTACTCATCAGTACAGACTCACCAACAGTTGTTGTAGAAATACAAGCTGCTTTAAACTCTCTCTCAAAAAAAAAAAAGCAATATGGTGACTCAAATTTACATGTGTTAATTCAAAAGATCAGCTTTCCTTTTTGTCAGGAGCCTTTAAAAAAAAAAAATCTTTAAGAGAAACACAAAATTGAGAAAAATGTATTTCACCTCTGTAGCTCAAAGTTGTGAAGTTTCGCTGTAGCTTTTTAATAAAACTCACCTTTGGGCAGAAACAAATCACAGAAGATTTCAGCTTAAGAAATGAACGTTTCAAGCAGTTACAGAGCCAGAAGAAAATGGGGTTATAATAGAAATTCTTTTGCGGTCTTAACTGCAGAATGAATTATCACTCACTTGACTGCGGTAACTGCACTCGTATGCACAGTCTGTACTGCTGGCAAGAAAACCCCATCAAATATTTCTCTTTTTCAGCTTTAATACAACAATAGATTAAAAAGGATTTCTTGGCTCATTCACAGCCTTGATTATATGTGATTATATGATTCTCTTATTCATAAAGGGACCTAAAAATAACAGCTACAAGAGCACATGATCTATCCTGAATGCAGGTAACTACATACTACCGTACCCTTCCCAAATACTCCATCCTTTTGTCCACTGCAAACAAAAACCACGGGGTGGGATACAGGAGGAAGAACTACTTACCACATACGAGAATCAACTTCATATTTGTACAAGTCATCTGCTAGCCTGTATTTGTTGGCACTGAACGCTTTGTAACCTCCATGGATATAAATTGATCTTGTATGTGGATCGTAAACACTGCTGTGACCGTACCCTCCTTGCACCAAAGCTCCGCTTGTCTGTAAAATGTTCCATTCATTTGTGTCTGTGAAATGAAAAATGTGAGTGACAGAACACGGTTAATTTATCTCCATTAATAACTTATCAACAAATCTGGTGGTGAAACAAATTGGGTTTCCCTTGACTCAGATCTAGACACTGTCTCTATCACTTCCAATCCAAAAATATTCTACTTCAAGGACTTTCTTGTCAAGAAATATTGTTAAGTATTTTTAATTAGACCAGTAACATCTCTTCTACAGTCATTTATTACATTTTGCAGACAAGCTAAGTAAATGAGAGATAAAAAGCACAGAAATCATATATTGCATTTCAATGCCATTAAAATGCCAGCACCATGGCTTGATTTGGAATGATACCCAAGAGCACTTTTATTTTATATGTATATAAAGCCAGATAGCACTGAAGCCAAGTATGACTGTAAAGAACAAAGCAGTTAAAAACTAATATGTGATTAATGGTCCTACATCTCACTCACTAAAATAACATTGGTTTGAAGCACTCTAGACATAATAGAAAGGCAACTGAAACAAAAATGTCAAATTACACACCAAATCTCTGTAGCAAGTGCAGAATGAAACCCTACACAGGCTTCCTAATTGCAGGGCAGATCAGGTACACAAAAGGCAGAGGGATTGAATAGTCTGCAAGATCACACGTGGGAGAAACAGAGCAGTGGAAAACTAAATCACTGTCCCACACATCTTGGTTTTCTCAAGCTTTCTTCTAGAAGAAGAAAGTGCATTCATGTGAACACAAGGGAAGCAGAGTAGGCTCCAGTAGATCCTCTGGATCAGGATGAATGAAGGACAAGGATAACAGGTTGAAATTGCATATAGGGCCACTATTTCTGACAATAACCAGCACATTCATGTTGTGAATTTCCTGTGCTTAACTATGTTCTCTACCTGGTCAGTGGAGCAAGGGACATGCCTCCAGAGAGCCATTTCAGAGCTGAAAAAGTTCAGTTCATCTGGAGAGCTTCCTACATTTCTCCACCGGTGATACTACAAATCTCTGGATCCTAAAATCAGAGTTTGGACTATTCTCAGAGATATGGGGATCAGATCATAACAGAGATAGAGAAGTCCAGAAATTCACTGCCTGTTCCCCTAAGCATTCACTACTGGGGACACAGGGATCAGGTTAAGCAGATACTTAGTCTGAATTGCTATTCTTGTATTCACAGGATACAAAACCAATTTCAGAAGTGTTTGCTTTGTCAAAGGGAGAGAGGAAAATTAATTTGAATTGTCCCACATTATCCTGCTTTATCTCTCAATTACAGCTTTTTTGTCTGTGGGACCTAACAAGTTGTATAAAGCTGGAGGCACGTGGCTGCCTGCTCACTCTTTGTGCTATCCAAACACTGGAAGTTAGATTGAACTTGTCATAAATACAAACAGAAGGAGAAGAACGTACCTGTCTTTGTTTTGCTATCTGAATATGGATCATTGAAATCATTTTCAAACCAGCTGTTAAAATTGAAGGGAATAGTTAAGTAGAGCCCCACTCACCCACGTTATATTCCTGGACATTGCTGATATACCCATAAAGAGGGCAGTGCCCAAAGATGACGAGCATGACTGTGTTGCCATCTTCCAGGGTGACAATGTGTGCTGAGTGGCCAACAACAGCGTACTGCTCCTTGGTTTTTGGTGTCTTTTGAATCCAGGTCTGGGTGGGAATGTGGAACACCCACAGCTGGCTGGTCACGTTCCCCGTAGCATCTATTTTTCCACCATACATGTATATATAATCCTGAAAGAAGTTAGATTTAAAATGAGGCCAATGAGTTTGGCATTTAGGAAACAGCTGATATATAAGGAATGAAGTTATTATATTTTATTTTCTCTCAGTCTACGTTTTTCTCCTCTCTCAAGGAGAAACGTTATCTCCTTTACCACTCACATTTGGTATGAAAGCAACCACAACTTCCATAGTTTGTATCCCAAGTCTGTACTGTCAGAATACCTTCAACACACACAATTCATCCTACATCAGGGTAGTGAGAGGAATGGGTGGGTGGGGCAGGATTGACCTTCAGATGACAGACGTCAAAATTTAGGTGCCTGTATGCTAGCTGAGTCTCTAAGCATCCACTATAAAATCTAGTGAAGCCTGGAGAACAATTCAACTGATCAAAAGCAGGGAAGGTGTACATACTTTTGGGGGAGCTGACCTGCTACCCAGATTTCACCACCGGTACCCACGAGGTCTTTTTTCACAATAAATGGAGCTCAGAGGTCTCTCAAAGGCACCCAAAGTCAGGCACCTAAGTCAGGTGATTTAATAAGCAAACTAAATCCCTTCCATAGCTTGCAAAGGCAAAGAGCAGAAGATAACTGGGAAGAAAGGCAGTTATGATGGAAACTCCTCTGCGTCCGTACACTAAAGGCTTTGTCTTCCAAGTTAATGCACTGACAAAGAATGAGGATCCTTTGGATAGAAGGGAGCCAGGTTAGTTAGCCAGGAAAGTTAGGAGGTGCTGAAGCATGTCCAAAGAAGGGCAACAGAGCTGGGGAAGGGCCTAGAGAACAAGTCTTAGGAGGAGCGGTGGAGGGAACTGGGGTTGTTGAGCCTGGAGAAAAGGAGGCTGAGGGGAGACCTTGTGGCTCTGTCCAAGTCCCTGAAAGGAGGGCGGAGAGAGGTGGGGGTGGGTCTGTTCAACCAAGGAACAAGTGACAGGACAAGAGGAAATGGCCTCAAGTTGCACCAGGGGAGGTTTAGATTGGATATGAGGAAAAACGTCTTCACTGAAGTGGTGGTCAGGCTGCCCAGGGAGGTGGTGGAGTCACCTTCCCTGGTGGGATTTAAAAGACGGGCAGATGAGGTGCTCAGGGACATGGTTTAGAGGTAGAATTGGTAGTGCTGGGTTTATGGTTGGACTCAGTGATCTTAAAGGTCTCTTCCAACCACTATGATTCTGTGATTTTATTAATCATCCTGCAACAGCCAAGTTCCAATACTCTATTCAGTTTCCTTTGGGAAACTCTCAGTCAGTCATGAATCCACCAAAGTGAGTAGTGGAGTTCTGTGTCTCTATTAGCAAGGCAGTTACCTTGGAAAGAGAAATTCTCTACTATAGTTGGTGCTTCCTGGGAAATTCCTGAGAACCACTGCCCAGCACTGATAATAAACCCATTTATCATACCCTGCTTTTGAACAGTTACTTGGAGAATGTGCATCGATCCCTCACAGGCAAGAATTTCAATCCTTCTCAGGTTCATCAAGTGTTTTGTTTGTGAACTACACTGTGTGGAGTTTCTCAAGTGTTTATAATTGAGCTTTATGTAGGCTTGTACTGTGATGAGCTAATTAACATTCCAAAACCAAAGGTCAGTAAAAGATTAGCTCATTTCCTTTTCAAAGGCTTTGCCATTCTGCTCTCATGTGGCCTGCACCCACAGCAAGGCACGCAGGTGAGAAATGAGGTAAGAAACAGTCAAATCCACTTGTTGTGTCAGATGTTGGAAGAATAGATTCAGAAGCAGAGCACATTCCAGAAATTCCTAATTTACCAGCTCTGCTTTGGCATCCTGGACAACAGAGCTCATAAAAATATTGATGTTGTCTACACAAAAGGCAATTGGGGAATCAGATGAAGTCCAGAAAACTCTAGCTGTCAAGCATGTCTTGCAAGAAGGAAATAACAGACTCACTGACCTCAGTCAGGCTTAAAATCTCTGAAAAAAAGGGGAAAGAAGGAACACACAAGCAAAGACTTTCTGGGATACCAGGCCAAGTCAAGTACACAAGAGTGGGACATCCATGGAGAAGCCTTTGAAGGAAAAATGCTTCTTCCAAAGCAAGACTGATCTGTGGCAAGGGGTGGATGTAGGGGGAGAAAAGGGGGAAATCAGCACTAAAATTACCTTATGTAATGCCAACGAATGACCATATCTCATCTCTACAGAGTTCACAGTGTTGTTCAGTGGAAGCCACTCTTCAGAAATAAGATCATACCTGTATAATAAAAATTGAATTAATTATCTGAGAAGTAGAAAATAAAGTCAAGAAAATTACTGCTCATCCTTTCCAGGATTTGTGGGGAAATCATTTTATTTAACAAAAGTCCTCCCAACATTTCAGCATGCACAGAGCACTTACAGACTAGTTATGGATTAAAAAAATCCAGTCAAGCCTGCTCTGTTATTTAACGTTCACTTATTGATTTGCTTTACCCTGAGTTTTCTTTCCCATGCAAAATCAAGAGGTAATGCATTGTTTATTAAGCTACAACCAACTCATACCACATGATCCACCCAAAAGAGCAGAAAAAGTTCATACTAAGCTCAGATAAATTCCAACTACTTGATTAAAAAAAACCCAAACCTGTTAGTGTTTAAAAGGCACTTTTTTTTAAAAAATCATGTATTTCTCATTCAAGTGGATTTTTTTTCTGTGAACTTGAAACAAGATAAACCCTCTGCCCTGAAAATGGCCTGTGGCTTTTTAGATAAAAGAATGAACTATACTGGCCAGGATTACAGCCTTATAAGATAAAATCACCTCCGAGAAAGCGTTCAATGAAGCCACAGAGTATCTGTTGAAAAATCAGGCATGACTTTGAAAGAGTAAATTGTGGAAGTAATCAGCAACTATTCTACAACTAAATGTGCATTTTCAGCTCTTCTTTAACTTCCCCTCTAAGAATTATTACCACGAGCGCAGAACACACAGCTCTCGCTTAGGTCCATGAAATTGAGGTACCCCTGGGAAAAAAAATTCAGCTTTTGCCCAGATCTGCCTAAATATTTTTTTAGTATTTAGGAATTTTAATATTTAGGCTCAAGATAAAACTTGAAATGTTTTTTTTTAATGGGGGATTTCCAAGAAGTACACAATGACTATTTGCTATCTTAATTACTGTTAAATCTCAACTAATTGTATAAATGTCATCATTCTAAATGCCACTCCCTGTTTGGTACCCCATTCACTACGCATAAACATCCCCAGTAATCAGTATGGATTAATTAAAGAGCCAAACACTCTGAAGTCACACAGATATAATATAAGGAAGGGCTAATAACACAGAAGCAAAACTACCCTCTTTGAATACATAGATATAATTTAGAAGCGAGCCTAGAAATATACAGCAGATACTTAATTAATGTCAGAAGCAGATGAATCAAAAATTCACTGACCAGCAGGAACCTTATGCTTTTACTTTTCCAAAATTAGCACCTCTCAGCAGCATTTTCCAACACCTCAAATTTCAGTCTAAGTTTTTCTTACTGCTGTTTTCCCCTGGACATGGAGCGTAGGCCAAAGCACAGCACGTCGGATGGCATTTTCTAAAAATAATTCTCAAATCTAAATTCCTCTACTTAAACTTTATTATGTAGGTTTATACTCACGCTAAAACCTTCTGAGAGTCAGAATGATTGAAGACGTAGCCTCCAACAATCCACATTTTATTGTCATGGATAACGGTTTTGTGAGATGCTCTAGGAAGTTTTGGAAGAGAATATTCCGCCCGGGTCCAAAACGACTGGTTTGCAGGAACAGGAATTGAACAGCCAGGACCTGGGAAAATAAGGTTTAAAAATAAGGTTTAATTTTTTTTCCAAAGCCTGTATTTCAACTAGAGGTCAAAATCCTGCACCACAGGTGACAAAGATGGTGCTGGCCAGGTAACAGGTGAAAGCTGTGATCCTCGTTTCCTTGCCCACACCAGTGATCTGTGATGCACCTGGTGTGTGACCTCCCAACTGAAACCACATCCTTCAGATTTAGAATTGTTTTCATAAAAAGCAGTTCCAGACTAGATGAACTAGTGATTATATTCCTCACTGTGATTATAGGGGAGTACAGTGCAGATCTCTTTCCACTCCACACTAAGAGGGTATTTTCCAGCATTTATCTAGCTACTGTGTGCCCATAGAAGCCACGACACAACCTGCAAAAGCTTCATGAGACCTGCTCAGCAGCACGTTATAAAAACTCAAGGTTCTATGGCTTTGTGTGTCCACAGAAGAGCAACAAAGCTGGGGAAGTGTCTGGAGCACAAGTGTGCTGAGTTCCCGGCTGAGGGAACTGGGGGTGTTGAGCCTGGAGAAAAGGAGGCTGAGGGGAGGCCTTGTGTCTCTGTGCAAGTCCCTTGGAGGAGGGTGGAGAGAGGTAGGGATGGGTCTGTTCAACCAAGGACCAAGTGACAGGACAAGAGGAAATGGCCCCAAGTTACGCCCAGGGCGGTTGAGATGGGATGTGAGGAAGAATTTCTTTGCTGCAAGGGTTGTCAGGCATTGGAAGGGGTTGGCCAGGGCAGTGGTGGAGTCCCCATCCCTGGAGGGACTGAAGAGTCGTGTAGACATAGTGCTGAGGGACATGGGTTAGTCACAGGGGACTTGTCAGTGTTGGTTTCATGGTTGGACTCAATGATCTTCAAGGTCTTTTCCTATCGAGGCAATTCTGGGATTCTGTGACTCTCTTCAGATGTAGAGACAAAGAAATTTCTAAGTCACCTCCAGTAATAATTCCACACGGGTTTTAGTTTTCTTCAGGTGCACAGGAATGAGGTTTAAAGTCTTCATCTGATGCCTGCACACAACAGGTGGGTACTGCTCTGTATAGTAGCTTAGTTGCTTTTAAAAGCATTTATTACAAATGAAGTATGATCTTTTGATATGAAAATATACTCTGTTCCTAGTCAAAATGGTAACACTTGTGCCCTGTCAAGTAGAACATTCTCAAATGCTCCCAATTAAACTGCAAGAGCCACACATTGAAAAGGCATCCAAGAGCTTCTCCATATTAATCCAGAGACTCACCTTGCCAGCCTGCGGAGCACGAACATGCTCTAGTATCGTTAAAGTTGCAATGTCCTCTCTCAGGTGCCCCACAATCATCTGTGCAGTAGGGAATATCACAAGCTTCTCCCTTCCAGTATTTGGCACATTCACATTCAAGAGCGTTGTTGCTGTTATTGAGCTTGCACTCTCCTCGGCCGGAGCAATTATTGGGACACATATTGAAACTGTGAACATCAAGGAAAGAAGGTTTGTCAGTAATGAAACAGATTCCCCAAGCCATACCTCTAATTAATGAATACAAGAGTGATGTTGAACTGAATTTAACACAGCTGCTTGTCAACATACAAACCAAGGAGAGCAGTGGATTAAGAACTTGATGTGATGCACTTGTAGAAGGTTTGTTCTATCATCTACACCCAGCTGCCTCACTCAATGAGTTAAACTTACAACTCCTCTGAAAAATTATCAGGATGGTTTTTTAGTCATTTGTAATGCAAATGAATTGCTTTAAAACCTCCAACAGTTAAGTGAAGAATTTTAATCAGCACATAAGGTTTTTGTGGTGTCTGTGCAATTTATACTTAAACTACTCACAATTAGGTGCTATTCTGGGATCTGCTTACGAAGGGAACACACTTGAAATGAATCCCAAAGCCAAAGATGTGCCCGTTTTGAATCATTTCTGATTTTATAATATCTGCAATGTAGCTGAGGCAAAACCAGATACATCCTTGGTGAAGATCCAAATTCAGGGACACTATTCAGTTCCAAATTCCAGTTTTTGCCTGTTTATCAACCAGTATAACTCACAGATGGGGATTACTATCCAACATTCTCACTGTTGTGTGACAGGTGGAGTCACTGGCTCCAAGCCTATAATTTCACAAGTGTTTCCTGAGCACCTATTTGCAGTAGTAACTATAAAGACTGTTAAACTGAAAAGAAATAAATACACCCTTTTATCTACTCTCTGCCAAAAAGTTGGGGGACAACTTAACAACCAGAACACAAAGAAGAAACAAACCACAAAACAGTACTTGAAAATTGTTTGAAATGATCAAGAAAGTGGAGATTTAAAGAAATATTAAAATATCCTAAAGGAATTTTTAAAAAGACAGGTTATTCTTTAAGAGAATGTCTCTGCTGTGTTGCAATGGTGCAATACCAAGAGCTGGGAGTAGATGGTGTCATGGTTTAGGGTATCAGCCAGACTTGCAAAATGCTACTGCTTCAGCTGCTATGTCTCAAGTAACTTTGCAAAAGCTCCCTATATTCTTCTAGAGCTTTCAAAAGGTGCTGAATATTCTGCATATTTCAAATAATACACTGTATATTTAAGTGTTGAATAAGGATGAAAGTACCAAGACTGGTATTCAAAAAACTAAGCATTTCATTTTAAGGAAAACTTTCAATTTTTGCAAAAAGTCAGTTGTGATCAAGGATTTTACACTTGATTTTTTTGAAAGAGGGGTGAGAACTGTAAGCTACACCCAAATTAAAATCTCCCAGTGCAGCACAAACATCATTTATATCTGTAGGAGCAAAAATTTCAAAGCCCATGATTCTCATCAGAAGCAAGAAATTCCATCTCTGTTAGGATGTCCACATTGAGATAATTTACTTTAAAAAAACACTTTTTAAAAGCAGTTGATGAATTAGGGAGCACTTTAGAATTACTTTTAAAAAGCTTATCAATAAGGAATAAATATATATTAGTCAGCAGAAAGGACACATATAAATAATTATAATATTTAAATTATGAACCAAAGAATATAGCAAAACCAGGACACCCTTCCAGACTAAAAAAGGAGCCAGATTAAGTGATTCAATCCAAGGATTGAATAAGAAAGAAAATGGCTTGAGGATCCTCAACAGCAGGTTCAGTCCAGTGTCCCAAGTGAAACGTGTCTGCTTATGGAAAAGCATGTTTCTGCAGAAGAATCTCTGTAAGAGACTCTTAAGAGCACACACAAGCACAAAATACAGTAATTCTGGTTGACTGAACATGACCAAATAAATCTAATAACATAAAATAAATACCATGATGTCTTTTGGAGCAAACGTTTGCCCACGCTTACAATTGACAAGTTAATGTTGAGTACATCATCACAGTTATTAACCACTGCAAGGGTATAATAAAGATAAAAATCTAAATTCAAGTATCTACTCGTAATTACATGCTTCAGTGGCTTATTTCAAGACAAAATTGAGAAAAAAAAAGGAAATCTCCTTTTGCACAAGCTGCAACATCACTTTGGAGTGGCACTACTTACTTATACGTGATGTTAAACCCTGTTAAATTATAGGCAGCATCACTGAAGAAATGCAGAAGGGCATATCCAGAAGTAGCTACAACTTCTGGTACTGTTTCATTGCTGTCTTTCTCTGGAACAATAAGACCACTGGAAAAGAAAAGAAAAAAA